TGTTTCCCGGGAGAAATCAGGAAAATTGTCATAGAGGTGAAACACGAAAATTTTGTTTAATGGAGGTATTTAGCTTCACTATATCGCGAGATAATCACTTTTTCAGCACTTTGTTCCAATGTTTATATTTGAAACGTAATTCAACTATCGGGTTACGTATTATCGACGATTTATTATTATTCTTGACGAAGGATATTTCAAAATATTTAATATACAGAATACAGATTTGAGAGTGCGAGTTGAATAACCGATAGAATTGAAAATATAATAAAAAAAAATTACGAACGGAAGTGACAGACATAATTAACAAGTTCCATGTGTGTGTACAATATCAGGACACTACGTAAAGGTCGTGCCTCCCTTGTTCAAGAGAAACAAACGTATAAATTTCCCTACTCGCTTCGCGTGAGATTTCACAATTCATTAATTACTGGCGAGAATACGACGACAGAAAGTGTCCCGACAAAATCTGAATTGTTTCGTCGCACCTACGGTTTTTAAACATAGACGACAAAGTGCACGAACTCTTTGCAATACAGCAGACCTTAAAATTTTACCTTACATGTATTTCTTTCCTAAATGTTTCATCGAAATAATATTTCTTCTCTCGTTCACCGAATAAATTTTACAGGATAACATAAGTTTAATCTTTAATATTTATACAAACGATATTACACAAAATCATCTCCAAAGATTCGTTTAACAGTAGAATCGTGTCTGATTATTGTTTGCTCTTTCCACTTGCATGAAGCATTACTAGTGATACGATACTGTCCGCGTTCCGTTGTTCTCTTTGCCTTCTATCAGCATATGTGAAATTATAGTGCAGAACAAATAATAATATATCCCTGGTAACGTTTGTATAAACATTAACTCGAGTAGTCGTAACCAGTAATGGACAGACAGGTGAGCTAAATGGTACTCAGACGCACGTGTATGCGGTAAACCGTGGACAAAGATTTAATCGGGAACGAAGCCCGATACGAAGAATTTTAATTTCACATTTTTTTTCCTTTTATTTGCATATAGAATCATATGTGTGCTTGTTTAATTATAATTCCGTGTGAATAAATATGCGTTTGAAATGTGCATCAAAGTGGGATGGATTGCACAAATAGTATTAACCCTTGTTCAATAAATTCAGCTCATTTCAAGCCAGCATTAGTTGCAATGGTATTCAGGCATATTATGTATTTTCTTGTTTTTAAAATTTGTTTACGTAATTCTACACATATACAGATACAAGGTACAATATATTTAATTAAAGGTATACATAAAATTCAATGTATCATTCCTCGTTAAAATTTGCATACGATGGAAATTGAAAAATATTACAAGTCAAACTAGTCATTTTTTAAAGATTGAATAAATATATTTGGTACTTTCTATTTATTACGTGAAAAACTACTTTCGTAGATCCTGGACAGTTGTTTCTTATTACCTTTACTTGATATCATCTTCGTTTGATTATGAAATCACAAATGATAAATTGTCCATTTTATAAAAAAAGGAAGCAACATTACTGATTCTACTCGCAAATTTGTTCCGATATTTGGAGAACACTCGGCGCAAGATGTAACGAGTATATTTTTCGTTAAAAATAAACATTTTGATATGCATGGAGGATTTGCGTTCTCCTTCCTCATGTATATATATTCATATATATATATAAATATATATATTTAATATTATATATATATACTTTTTCAGTTTTTGAATATGAATATGAGGGGAATGACAAAAAGGAGTAATTAATATCCGGCTTAAAAATGAACGACCAGGAGGAAATTTTGTCCGCGTGCGCGGAGTGATCCGCGTTGCAACGAGGGAAACGCGAGCGAATGTGTTAATAACATGCAAATAGAACCGAAAATTTCTCGCTGAAAAATTGTGAGCCGCGCCGCGCGGCCCGGTTCGCCGACTAGCAATCGTAAATCAACGATTCGGATTCAGTGGCGCCTACAATTTAAAATCAACCGGTGAATGAAATTAATTACGGTACAGAGCCGGCCGGTCGGCAGACGTTCGCCGGACTCTTTATGGTAATGCGTGCAAGTTGCCCGGCCACTGGGAATCATTTCGTGTTCCGTCATTGTCGTGTCATTTGCATCGGTACGCTCTTGCCAGTGCGCTGTGCGTGACTCACGTTTTCGAAATGCCAACGACGCCGACTCGAAACCCTTCTTCTGCGCCGCGAGAAATTTGAATTGACGGTACCTTCGGATAGCACGTTGAATTGCTACTAATATACTCCGTGTCAACCGGTGTCAAAGCTTTGACACTTTAGCTTTTTTGCTACTTTTTTGCTACTCACACGCATACTTAAACCCAGTCGATTTATTTCCAATGCTGTTCGGTGTACACTTGTATTTAGTTTTAGGGAAATGGATTAAAGTAATCCACAGCGACAGAATTCGTTTTATATTTATTTTATTTATTATTGTTATAATAAGATTCAATTTTTATAATATTCTGAAGTGTGGTACTTTTCGAAGTATTGAGTTATTGAACATTTTTCGATGAAATATAGATGATATTCTTTGAAGCTAGTGAGGAAATATACGTAAATTAAGAAACAGTTATTTTATTTAAATATTTCATATATCGATGCATTATACGAAGGTTAATATTATATATAAATTTTATAATGTTGCTGTATATAATCAAGTGGTGATAGTAATTCTCGAGTACGAAGGATTAACCCCTTGCCAAATATGATTTTGATTTCGACTAAGTTCGACTAACG